TAGCAGGGCAGGATAGGGCAGCTCTGTACTTGGGAGAAAGGAAATATAACCCTCCTCCCCGGTCCCAGATCCCAGCTGGGGTTTGCTTGTGGGCGGGGGGCGTTCCCTGCCTCCTCCCAAACCCTTCTTTGCTAGAGCAGACAGTACAATCCTGCCTAGGGCAGGAAAGCATGTTGGGATGCTGAGGGACTGTGATTTCATAGTTTCATAGTTACAGGGTCGGAAGGGACCTAATAGATCTTCTAGCCCAACCCCCCGCCAGGGCGGGAGAACAACCCAAAAAAAAACACCCTAAAAACAAAAACGGGACTCAAATGAGTCCAGCCAGGTAAGTATCCAGCCTCTTCTTAAAGATCCCCAGGGTAGGGGCCAGCACCACCTCCCTTGGAAGTTGGTTCCAGCTCCTAGCCGCCCTAACTGTGAAGTAGTTTTTTCGGATGTCCAATCTGTACCTCCTCTCCATCAACTTGTGCCCATTACTCCTTGTTATGCCAGCGGGGGCTAGGGGAAACAGCGTCTCCCCCAAACCCTTCTGGTTCCCCCTAGTGAGTTTATAGACGGTCACCAGGTCCCCCCTCAGCCTTCTCTTGTGGAGGCTGAATAGGTTCAGGTCCCGCAGTCTCTCACTGTAGGGTCTGCCCTGTTGTCCCCGGATCATGCGGGTGGCCCTCCTCTGGACCCTCTCCATGTTGTCCACATCCCTCCTGAAATGGGGCGCACAGAACTGGACACAATACTCCAGCTGCGGCCTGACCAGCGTCGCATAGAGGGGGAGGATCACCTCCCTGGCTCTACTCGAGATGCACCTGTGGATGCACGACAAGGTCCGGTTAGCCCTGCCAACCATGACCTCGCATTGTCGGCCCATGTTCATCTTGGAGTCAATAATGACACCAAGATCCCTTTCCGCCTCCGTGCTCTCAAGTAGGGAGTTCCCCATCGTATAAGTGTGCTGCTGGTTCCTACTACCCAAGTGCAGCACCCTGCACTTGTCCGTATTGAAACACATCCTGTTCCTGTTTGCCCACCCCTGTAACCTATCCAGATCCTTCTGCAATCTCTCTCTCCCTGCTAGCGTGCTCACCTCCCCCCAAATTTTGGTGTCATCAGCGAATTTAAACAGGTTGCTTTCCACCCCAACATCAAGATCGCTGATGAAGAAATTGAACAGCGCAGGCCCCAGGACCGAGCCCTGGGGGACTCCACTACCCACCTCCCCCCAAGTCGAGTATGATCCATCCACCACCACCCTCTGAGTGCGACCCTTCAGCCAATCTGCAATCCATCTGACTGTGTAGGCATCTATGCCACAGTCGCCTAGTTTATTAATTAGGATGGGGTGAGAGACGGTGTCAAAGGCCTTGCTGAAGTCCAGAAAGACTACATCCACCGCGACACCTGCGTCCATGGCCTTTGTGACCTGATCATAAAAGGCAATCAGGTTGGTCTGACATGATCTCCCCCTAATAAATCCATGCTGATTGCCCCTGAGCATCATTTCTGATGCCGGCCCATCACAAATGTGCTCCTTGATGATCTTCTCAAAGAGTTTCCCCAGGATTGAGGGCCTATAGTTGCCCGGGCCCTCCCTTTTCCCTTTCTTGAAGATGGGGACCACATTAGCTACCTTCCAATCATCTGGCATCTGGCCCAAGCACCACGATCGCTCGTAGAGCCGTGCCAGGGGCCCTGCAATAACCCCAGCTAGCTCCCTCAGCACCCTGGGGTGGAGAGCATCCGGACCCGCTTTAATTTGAACCAGGAAGCGGTCTGGAACAGAAGTTTCATAAACCAGTTTGACTCAAATCAGTTAAGTCTGATACTGCATTCAACCAGGTTTATCTTAAACCAACTTCAGCCATTTTGAAACTGGCTTATGTGCACTGAACTTCTGTTCTGTTACAGGTTTAAACCAGTTTCTGATTACTTAAATCAGTTTATGTGTAACTTCTGTCCCTAGGCTTTGTGAACTACTTATTAATGAAATAACTGACAGTAGTGTATTTTACAGATTCTCAAGGCTAGAGTTCACCAGAATAGACTAACTTGGATATGACTATATTTTGAGTATATTACCTTGATATTTATGCATGGGATATGCTGAGTGAGAGTTATTGCATAGTGGTCCCTACCATAAAACAAATATCTTCAGTATGTTTAAGTAGATTTTTAAAAAATGCTCTGCTTCTTCCATGGCTATGAACAGTCTCAGATGGAGTGAAATGGACTTGGCTACACTGCACCAGGGAGCAGGTTTGGAGTTGGGGAAAGGGGTGTGATGACTTTCACATTCTGCCACAACACCCATATCTATACTAGCTGGGATTTGAGGACAAAGGAATGATGGAAGCAGAGTTAGGACAGCTATCTTTAACCATGTGGAACCTCCTTGCTTCTTCTTGGCATGGTAGGAAGGATTTAGACAGGGTAAAGATGTACCTTATAAATTAATTCAATCAGAGATGCATGAGCTTTCATGAGCTTGAGCTAACTTAATGAAATCCTCAGAAGAGCATAAGCTCTTGAAAGCTTATGCATCTTTGAGATGGTTAGTCTGTAAAGTGCATTCTACCTGACTTCAGATTAACACAGTTAACTACTTTCTTCTACTCAGGTAGGATTTAGCCTGATGCGTGATTAGCTCAATTTAAAATCAGATTGCATTATCAAAATAATTTTAAAATGGACAGATTAGAGTAAGAACTGGAGTGAACTAGAATTTCTTTAAATTTGCATTCTTCTTGTATTTCAAACCTACAAAGTTTTGCAAGATCTGTTACTTATCTCTTCACTGATATATGTTTTCTTTGTTTTTAATGAAAAGGGAAACTAAAAATAAAGCCCCTGATCTTCTGCAATACTAAAAAGACCCTATAACATAAAAGAAAAAATATATTTTATTAAAGGAAAATATCTAGTTCCATGATTTTAATGCTGTCAAGATCGAATTGTAACAAGTGTTTACAAATGTAATATATTCCTATGCAGTCTTTTGAGACCCAGACATGAGAAGCATTATTCTAACTGGGAGAGCACCACAGTAAAATTGTCTAAAAAATGAAAATTACAGTAATAAGAATAGCCCAAAACTTAAAATGACTAGTCAGCTTTCATTATCCAATCTGAAATGAAAAAGGAAATAATATAAACAAGGAAAATGAAATGTAGATTTAAAGCAAAATTCTTTCAATGTTCACTTATCTAAATTATTATTTCTTATGTAAATAAATACAGTAAATGAATAAATTCATTTGCTCCAGCTCCCAGTGAAGACAATTGGATTTCTATTCAAAGAATACCCAGACTTTCTTGAATACCATATGCTCCTAAATAAGACATGCACATTGTTTTGGGAAGGCAGAATGAAGAAAAAAAGATTTTTCCAGAGTTGCAGTTGAATCCTGATCAGTTAAAAACTACGATTTTAAACCTTGCACAGCTGCTGCCAAATTGGTGATTTAGTTGTGGGGGTGGGAAATCCAAGGAACTTCAGGTCTTGGTCCAAAATTTTTATGTCAACAGTGTCTTTCTAAAACTGCAGATTCAGGCCTGTGAAAGTCAGAAGTAAGAAACTTGAAGTTTAGAGCAGTGTTAGCATGCTCATTAGGGACAGAAGCCACACATAAACCAGTTTAAGTGATCAGAAACTGATTTAAACCTGTAACAGAACATACGTTCAGTGCACATAAGCCAGTTTCAAAATCGCCAAAGCTTCTTTAAGATAAACCTGGTTGAATGCAGTATCAGATTTAACTGATTTGGGTCAAACCAGTTTATACAACTTCTGTCCCAGACCCTATCCTGGTTTAACTTAAACCAGAGTATCCCAGCATGCTTTTCAGACCTGGCTGGGCTGTGCTGTCTGCTCCAGACAACAGTGCTGGCCCTACCCCTTTGTTCTCTAGCTGGAGCAGCAGCAAGGTGTGGCTGGACACTGGCTGGCATGGCCCCCGGGGGCAAAAGGAGCAGGGGAGGGGTCTTATTCCCCTCTCCCTCCCCTCTTCCACTGGGGGACCACATCCAGGGTCTGCTTGGCCAGGGTGTAGCAGCCCTTATTAGGCCCCTCCCATCTGCAGCCTGAAGCAAACAGAGAGGGAGGGGGATATAATCTCACCTTCCGTTCTCACTGACAGCCCGGGTCTGCCGGCCAGGGTGGAGCAGCGGAGCAGCCCATCAGTTATTTCCCTCCCTCCGCACTCCAGTGGCAGGGGAGGGAATATGGCCAAAGCCATCTGGCACAGCCCCACCTGCCCTGCCAGTGGCTGGAGCTGTGGAGCTGAGCCAAGCGGTATTGCTGAGAAGAGGTGGAAGGGCCAACTGGGACTGGGTCATGGGGACCAGGCCCTTCCCAGTAGGCTGCAGCTTGGGCAGGGGCTGCTTGGCCAGATTGATTCCAGCTTCCTGTGCCAAGGCTGGGCAGGGCTGTCATGGGGATGCAGCTGGCTGGGCATGGGAGCTGCAGCTCTGTGAAAGCCCAGCCCAGCAGCAGGAGACAGGAGTTTAATTCCCCCTCTACCCAGCTTCGCCTGAGGCACTGCCCCAGACAGTGTCTGGCTTCAGGGACAAGCCTGACAAGGGCTGCTTCACCCCTCCCACTCCAGGCACACTTTGGCTGGGGTCCCTAAAGGCCAGGGTGGGGGTTTAAACCCCTCTCCAATCATACCTAGCCTGTGGCGGGGAGGAGGCCTGGCCATGCCCCCATCAGCTTCCCTTCAGCCTTGTAGTTGCTGCTAAAGACAAGGAAGGGCTGCTCTAGTGCTCCCCGGCTTCTAGCCTGAGCCACTGTAGGTATGTTCCTGCATTTCCTGAATCTTTATTCACTTGCAAATCGGTTCAATCTTTTCAGGTTAGACTGACCTGCAAAGATTGAATCAATTCAGACTTTTTGAATGTCTGTCCCTAGCCTAGTAGAATTGTGTATGATGTTTGTCTCCTTTGTCCTGTTTTCTTAGTTATTATCCTGATATGGAACTTACTATATTTTCCCTTCTTCTCTCCAGGTCTATAGATATTTTAGAGTTGACAGAACAAGAGGAATTGCTGAAATTTCACTATCATGCTCTTCGATTGTATTCAGCTGTTTGTGCTTTAGGGAACAACCGGGTAGCACATGCTATGTGCAGCCATGTGGATGAATCTCAGCTCCTGTATGCCATTGAGAACAAATATATGCCAGGCTTGTTACGTACAGGCTATTATGACTTACTTATTGATATCCACCTCAACACCTATGCCACTGCCAGATTAATGATGAATAATGAATTTATTGTTCCGATGACAGATGAGACCAAGAGCATTACTCTGTTTCCTGATGAGAATAAAAAACATGGCCTCCCTGGTATAGGGCTCAGCACCTCCTTGCGGCCTAGGATGCAGTTCTCTTCTCCCAGCTTTGTAAGCATTAGCAGTGAGTGCTATCAATTTAGCCCTGAATTCCCTCTGGAAATCTTAAAGGCCAAAACTATAGAGATGCTGACTGAAGCTGTTCAAGAGGGCAGCCTCCATGTTAGAGATCCAGTAGGGGGTTCTACAGAGTTTCTTTTTGTCCCGCTCATCAAGCTTTTTTACACCCTGTTAATCATGGGAGTCTTCCATAATGGGGATCTGAAGCACATCTTGCAGTTGATTGAGCCCAGTGTTTTCAAAGAAGACATAAGCAAAGAGGATGAAAATGAAATGCCAGAGAAGGAGCTGACTACAGAGGAGCTAAAGCCAGAGGGAGGAGAGGAAGAAGCCAGAGGAGAGCAAGTGCCGAAGGAAGGGCTTCTTCAAATGAAACTTCCTGAACCTGTAAAATTGCAGGTAATGAGGTTTTACCATATCAATGGTTAGTCTAACTTATGTGACTATCTTAAACACTGTTGCAGGCAGCATATATCTATATTCCTTGTTTACACTGTGTTTTGAAATGTAATCGCTGTTATTTATATAATGTAGCATCGTCCTATCATAGTCCAATGGTAACAGGAGCATTTATGAAACCTTTTTGGAGCACCAACTGACCTAATTAAGGGTGTACATAGACAGTTATATTATACCTTATGCATGTTTAGTTTAACCCATAACTTCTAAAGAACATAACTAGCTGTATTACTACTGTGAAAGCATGAGCATATCATAGCTTACTTTCAGTCATCTGTTAATACAGGCATTACTTTTAACATAAATGGCCCATCCTTACCATGTTATTGGTTTCCTAAGAATATTTTATAAATTTGACTGTGTTTGTGGCTTGTGTTTCCCCAGATGTGTCACCTACTGCAATATCTGTGCGACTGCCAGATACGTCATCGGATAGAAGCCATTGTAGCATTTTCTGATGATTTTGTAGCTAAGCTTCAAGAAAATCAGCGCTTTCGTTACAATGAAGTTATGCAAGCCTTAAACATGTCTGCTGCACTGACAGCCAGAAAAACAAAAGAATTTCGGTCTCCACCTCAAGAGCAGGTAAACAGAAATTTATAATTAGTACTCCCCACTGTTCCATACTGTAAGAGTGGTGGTGGAGTCAAAGGAGGAATTTAGGAATCCAGTCCAGGGAAAGTGTGTCGTAGTGATCAGATTTTCATTTGGGTCTCAAGCTTTCCTGCATTGGGAAATCAGATTATTTTAGACCATGTTAACTTCTATTTAAAACTCTCAATACAGATAATGAGTTTCTTGCGTTAGCAATGATGATCTCTAGGTTCCGCACTGGAAATAATTATCACTGACTGACATGATTGTTAACATTCATACTGATGACACAGCGTGTTTGTTAATTTGTATTAGCTACTGTCCTTGCATGTTGCAGTCTCTCACCATAGACAAGCCCTTAGTGTGCATAGCCTTATTAGGCTTCTGCCTTTGTATTCATTGACCTTATAGGAATATATGCTTTCTTCTCAGAGGAAGTACTTTGTTAACAATAATATTTTGCATATGCAAATATTCTTCTTTCAGCTGAAGATATCAATGTGATACTGAGACACTTATTAACTGACACTTTATACTGCCATTTTTTGTAAATTTTATTCGCAGAAAAACAGATTCAGAGAGACCAGATAATTTGCCTGAAGTTGAAATGTTCATTACTGACACAGTTGAAATAAGAAATTAGGAGTACTTTAATACTCTACTCTGACCATTCATTGTTGTTATTATTCATTTTCCATTCTTATTACCATGTTTACTTGATTCTAAAATGACTTTGAATTTAAGATGATCCCACAATAATTTGATTTTAGACATGAAATTGAGTAAACATGGTAATTACCCTTTTTATCTCTTCTACTTAAGCATCAGATTTTTCCCCTTCAGAAAAGATAATTGCTATAATGCTTGGATTTTTCATAAATACATAAAGAATGGCTGTTATTAAAAATGTTTGATTCAGTGTTTCTTTTCTGCACAGTTTTATGGGCATAGTAAACAAAAAGATATCCAAAATATTCACATTTGGTGTAAGTCCTTTGAGTAGTATTTGGATTCCAGAACTTCCTGGCATTATATATTCTTTCCTACCCACCACAGGGTCCCTGAATAACTTCCCGAAAATCTAATTTCTTTTTCTGGTACTAATTCATTTTCAGATAAACATGCTTCTGAACTTTAAGGATGATAAAAGTGATTGTCCCTGCCCTGAGGAAATTCGAGATCAACTTCTTGATTTTCATGAAGACCTAATGACACACTGTGGTAAGCTCTGTTTTTGTAACCTCTCATTTCTGAAATTGTATTAGACAAATAAAACAACTTTAGCAAAGGCACTTGATAGGTTACTGTTTATCATAAACAGACAGATAGAAAGTCAGATAATACAAAATACATTTCTTAGTCATGATACAAGTGAAACTCTCTCCTCTGATCAGAGTACAAGGAAATAAATCATATTTTATTTCAAAAGGGGAAAGGTTCCCTTCATATAAATGAACTCTACTCAAACTACTCAAAGAATAGTAAATTAAATGTAGCTCACTAGCTTTTTGAGAAAACTACTCCAGACCTGTGGCAAGACTAGCAGTTGCTGCTCCTCTGTTACCTTCCCACCCCTTCACTGTGGGAACCCACCCTGTAGGTTCTAGTTAATCATTAGGTGACTCTTGTCATATCAAATTAACTGTGTTCATACTAACCACAATAAAAGGGCAGCTATGACTTCAGTTGTTCATCCTCACCTGACCTCTTGGAGAGGGTTTTATTTGAAGAAAGTGAAAGGAAAAAGGGTGCTTTGGCGGAATCAAAATGGGCAAGTAAAATTCTTAAATCCCAAGTCTTGCTTCAGGTAATAATGAAAAGTTTAACTGATCTTCTGATATTTAAATGCTTCAAATTTAAATGCAAATAAGTGCAAAATAAACAGAACAAAAGTTAAAAAGCAGAATCTTTTTGCACATTTAAATTTATAACCATGGACATTACAGATGCAACTAACATTTTTGTTTGCAGAGCTGAAATATTTAAATTTTGCTCTAGTCATCTTGGAGCTAGCAAGATAATGCTGCAGACAGCACTTCATTAGTTTCAAATTATGGATGCCCCTTGCTCTGTCCAAGTCACATATTGAACACAAAAAAAATTAGCCACTTCATCTATAAAAGGAGCCACCTGCTAATAATTAACAGATGGAGGTATTGATTGAGCTGCTTCACTCTTATATTCTCTCTTAATTAGAAGGAGGATGCTGGTGCTGACATATATGATTATGCTTTTTGCTTAACTAGGACCCTCACCTAGCCCAGAGGAAACTGTCCTGAACCTGTCAGTATGGTATGGAGTTCCTTCCAGTCTGGGGTCTGAAGTTAACCAGAAGCACCTCAAAAAGGACTTCTCTCTTATTATTCTGACATTTCTTCCCCCTTTGAATGAGGGGAAAAAAGCTTTGATAAAATGAGCTGTCAGGTGGCAGGAAGTAAAACTGAAATTAAAGAATTGACAATTGATTTGGGCTTTCTTCTCTGTTCTCTCATTTTCCTGGTTGACTTCTGTAGCTTTCTCATTCCTTTTCACTATCAATGTCTTATCTCAGAAGCATTCTGTTCAGGTTTTTTTTCACTCCCCTCCTTTGTGTAAAATTTGGAGTTTGCTTCAGTTTGAGGAAGCCAGAAGTGTCTCCATAATCCAGTGTCTCCATCAGCTTTCTTGCTGTCAAACAGCTTGAAAAGTGCCTATTCAGAGGCTAGAAGAGGCATAATAAAGACAGAGCACATGAACTTATATATTCACAGCACAGTTATTGCAGAAGAACAGACCATTGACTATGCATCTCTAAGGGCTGCAATTAGCTAGTCAGCTCTTCAGAATGTGGAGCTTCTCATATTGTACATAGGTTGAGAAATAACCACATTGATATTCTGCAAATTGGACAACTGGAACCGCAGAGCTGGGAATTGCGCAACTGGGGGAAACTGACATTTTTGCATCAGTAACTCTACAGCACCTCTCCATGCTAATTACTGAAATATTTCAATTTCATTATTGCTAATTACTTTGGTTGGAGAGATTTCTATGCAATATCACTTTGTATAAAATTGAAAGCTATTGATGATTCATTTTTAGTTCGCTGTTGATTTTCCCTCAGGGCAAAGTACAATAAAACGGTCTCTAAAGAGAACTGGAACCAAACCTGGATCCATTTCCAAATGGATGAATACAAAAAATCCAAACAAAAAAAACGGGATTTTCCCATGAACAAGAGCAAAAGATTTAATAGTATTACCAGATCTGAGGTAGAAATACGCTGTAGAAGAGACGTTTATGTTAAAAACTCAGATTAAAACTGAATTAAAAAAAATTAAATAGATTTCATAGACATTAGGGCTGGAAGGGACCTTGGGAGATCTTTGAGTCTAGCCCCTTGCCCCAGGAGCAGGATGTCAGCAGGGATCCTAGGATCCCAGCAAGATAAAATGAAAGTGGCCTTTTTATTTTAAACTCATAGAGTTGTGAGGCAACAATATTAATGATGGTCTTGAAACAAAACGATGGTTTCAGTTTCATTATTACTTATTTGGAGCAATACAAATGAAAAACAAGTCTTACATCAGTATAAGATATGCGTTTATACAGTTTTATTTCTTTATAATTCAATATATCATGTACCACAGCTTTATGAAAATGGTCAATTCAATTTTGTTGTGACAGAGTATCAGAAAGTATCAGTAGTTTCACTTCGGTATTGTTTTTCATCTAAAGGTTTGAAAGCACTGAAATATCAGCTAAGATGCGAAATCATCTGGGAGGCTGACAAGTATTTTTCCTATTTTCAAAATAATGAGAATAAAGTTACATGGAAGCTAAGGGAGTTGGGTGTCTAAATACCTATCTGAATCTGGCTGTAGATGACTAACTTGCATTTATCCAGTATGTAAACAACAGAGCCAGGTATTGTAGGATTCCTAAGCCCCAGATCTGAACTGTAACCTTTAAACTGTACTGCCAAAAAGAGCATTTGAGGGAATAGTAAATTTTGGTTTGTTTGTAGTGCACTTAGCTAACAAAGCAAGACAGAACCCATCAGTTTGATTATATTTGCACATTTGGACAAGAAGCGTAGCTCTAATTTGTTTAATTCATTGAATGATTCAGTATTCATTATTTCCAGGAATTGAACTAGATGAAGATGGAGCCCTGGATGGAAGTAGTGATTTAACCATCAGAGGTCGTCTATTGTACTTAGTCGAAAAAATGACATACCTGAAGAAGAAACAAACTGAGAAACCCACTGATAATCATTCTAAAAAACCCTGTAAGTAAATGTTAAATCAACATCTAGTGTAACCTGGCTCTGGAAGGAGAGAGGGAAGTACTAACAGCTCTTCATATATAATCTGCCAGAACAACTTGGATTTTTAGGGAAGCATCTGTGCACCTTTAAGCTGATGGCTCTAACTCAAAGCAGTTTTAGCTGGAGTTTTCAGCACGTGTAATAACTCCCAATGGTATCTGTCAGCACATTTCTTACACTGGCTGTTACAAGTTTATTGTTATTTAACATGCTGATCACAAGCATCCATCTTAGATTTACTAAGAACAAATTGTGTCAAACAAACTGATGTATAGTGCCCGTCTTTAAGAAAGGGAAGAAGGAGGATCAAAGGAACTACAGACCAGTTAGCTTGACTTCTATATCCAGAAAAATCATGGAGCAGGCTCTCAAGGAATAATTGTGAAGCAGCTAGAGGAGAACAAGATGATCAGGAACAGCCAGCATGGATTTACCAAGAGCAAGTCAGGCCTGACCAACCTAATTTCCTTCCATAAGGTGATAGGCTCAGTGGATGAGGAGAGAGCAGTGGATGTGATATACTTTGATTGTAGCAAGCTTTTTGACCCTTCTTAACAAGCTAGGTGGAAATACAAGCTAAGTGGAAGCAATGTAAGGTGGACAAACAACTAGTTGAATCACCAGTAGCTCAATGTAAAGTGGACCAGGCACTGCCCATCTGGCCTACCAGAGAAAAACCTTGGACACCAGTGCTCTGGAGGGCAGGGTTCAGCTCCGGAATGACCTGGGTAGACTGAAAAAATGGTCCTCAGTCAATCAGATGGGGATCAAGAAGGACAAGTGCAAAGTCCTGCACTTGAGACAGAATAACTAAGGGAGGATTTGATAACAGTTTTCAAATACCTGAAGGATGATTATAGAGAGAGGTTTTTTCCTCTGTGGCTGTAGGGGACAAGACAAGAGTAATGTCCTCAAGTGGCAGCAGAGTAAATTTAGGTAAGAGATTAGGAGGAGTTTTTTGAGTATGAGGGTGATTAAACATTGGAACAGGCTACCTAGGGAAATGTAGAATCTCCATCCTTGGAAGTTTTCAAGAGCAGGTTAGACAGACATGTGGCTGAGATGGTTTATTCAGGGATGATCCTGCAGGGGACTGGATTTGATAACTTTGTGAGGTCCCTTTCAGTCCTACTTTCCTATGATCCTATGAACTTGATTTCTTCTGATAAACTAAGTAGTTGAGTGGATGGAGAGAATGCTGTGGATATAGTAAATCTGGAATTCAGCAAAGTTTTTGACAAGGTCCCACATGGCAGTCTCATAAACAAATTGGAGAAATGTTGTCTAGAAAAACCTCAATAAGGTAGAGTGGCGGGCGGGTCAGTACTTGCAAGGAAAGGGTAATTATAAATGGATCCGTGTCAGAATGACAGGAGGTTTTGTCTGAAGTCCCACAAAAGCCTGTCCCTGGCCCAGTGCTGTTCAGTCTGTTTATTAATGATTCAGATAGTGACATAAAAAAAATTTTTGAGCAAGATTGCAGATGACATAAAACTAAGAAGGATTTTGAACATGGAGGATGGGAGGGCACTTCAGAAGGATCTCAATAGATTAGAAATCTCAGTTGGAACTTAACAGGATGGAGTTTAGTCTTGAAAAATACAAGGTGCTACAATTTTGGGAAGAATAAAATGGGTGACAGCTGGCTGCATGGTAGCACTGTGGAAAAAGATCTGGGAATCCTGATAGATCATAGACTCAGTATGAGTCTGCAATGTTAGGCAGCTGCACAAAAGGCAAATGCAGTTTTGGAATTCATTGGGTACAAGACACAGGAAGTGATAGTACCTCTAGTCAGCACTGGTCAGACCTCATCTAGAGTATTATGTGCAAGGTTCACAGAGATTTCTGTGGGCATATCTTTGCAAGTGGGGTATTCTGACTTTCCCCACTTCCAGATATGTGCTCCAGAGATTCTGGGGCATGCTTCTGGAAGCAGTGAAAGTAGAAAGACTCCAGTGCAGTGCATGGTCCCAGGATCTCATCTAGAGTATTGTGTGAAGTTTGGGGCTTCACATTTTTAAAAGGATGTGGAAAAGTTAGGGAGGGTCCAGAGGCAGGTGACAAAAATGATAAAGGACTTGGAAGGCAAGTCATATGAGCAGAGGAAATAGGTATGTTTAGCTTGCAGAAAAGGCACTTCATAGGGGACACATCAACAGTCTTCAGATTGGATACTATAAAGAAGAGGGAAAACACTTTTTCTCTCTTGCTACAGCATGTAGCCCAATGGATTGACGTTGCAGCAAAGTAGGTTTAGATTGGATATCAGGAAAAACATCTGCACTGCAGAACAGTAAGGCAGTGGAATAGACAGCCTAAGGAAGTTGTGAATTTCCCATTCAAGAGGTTGGACAGGGATTGGTCCAGGATGATTTAGAAGAAACTGCCTATGCTCTACTATGGGTATCTCCCATGCTTTTGGGCTTTACTGGTTGCCATGTAGGGCCAGGAAGGATTGTTTTTCCTCTCTTGCTGCTCAGGGTTTGTTTGTTTGTTTTTTAAGTCTTCCTCAGAACCATTGGATTGGTTGCAGCCAAAGTTGGGGATTGTGACCAGGGTATGCTAATGTGCTCGCTGGGACTTCAACCTGGGTTTTCCTAGCTAGAGGATTTTGCCGCTCTGCTCAGAGTCAGACTGATTGCCATATTTAGCATCAGGAATAAATTTTACCCCATGGTTAGATTGGTATGGACTATGGAGTTTTTGTCGTCTTCTCTAGAAGTGGGCATGGTCCTCTTTCTTGGATCTCTTGAGTGTATTTTAACAACATTGCAGCAGCAGGATGTTACTAGGTTAGGGTGTTATGTTTTGTGGCTTTTATCAGGGTTGACTCTGTAGGTCTGGTAAGAAATTAGATAGTGGATTTCCATAGGATGTTTTGGATAGGGTTGATCCTACATTAGGTAAGGGGTTGGACTTGATGACCTCTGGATGTCCCTTCCAGCTGTACTTCTCTATGATTCTGTGCTAAGTCTCTATCCATGATAACTTCAGAAGCAGTCTAGCCATCATAACAGAACTTTGCATCAGCTAATTTAACTTGGTTTTTAGCCTCAAATGAGCCCCTTCTACTGTGGCTATGCTGCTTGTGTAACTGAGCTAGCTTGCTTAGATCTATCTTGGACAACACTACATTGTTCTGCTGTTAAATGCTGACCAAGCAGCTGGGATGTAGCATGACAGGTGCTACAGTGTAGACAAGCGGACAATTTATTCATGCAGCTTCATACCACAAACAGGGGAAATGTTACGTTTTGTTCCTTTTATCCTTTTTTTCCAATCATATCTGATGTGTTAGTCAAAACATACCAATTGTTTATAAAAACAAACAGAGATGCTGTTCAAAAGGAATATTAGAGGTCATAACAGCTTAAACTGTGATATCTGGACTGAATAATTAGATAATTAATATAGAGTACTTTAGTATTTTGTTTCTGGACTTTTTTTTCTTCTGGACATACAGACTATTACTATTTTCCTCCCCCCGTGCTTGATTCAAACTCACTTTTCTATAAAATCTGATAAAATAATTTCCTCCTGGTGAATATTATAATTTAACCAAATCTCTATCATTCCCATATAAGCCTTTTTTAATCTCTGTACACAGATTCTGAAGGCTATGATTTTGTTTGCACATACTTTATATCAACCATGTTTTCTACAACTGCTGGCTACTTATAAGGCAATGAACTAACTGGCAAGAGAAATACTCAATTTCCCCATCACATTCTTGATAGCATAGCATTCTTATGGCATTGCAGCAATTACTTAGATAAAAAAAAAAAGTAATAGTGAGGAAATAAAGTATTTAGCTTGCCCGAATACAATTTGGCATGTGGAAACAAAGGAAAGGTACTGCAGTATATAATGAGCAAAATTCTCACACATCTTCCGTGGTATCTGTAGCACAATATTAACCTTCTGACATGAGCAAAATACTAACATTCATCCATTATCAGCCATTATACTGCTTTCCTTGGTTAGTTCATCAGAAACTTCATTTGTAAAAAGTGATTGCAGTTTTTCTTTTTTCATGAGAAATGCTTAAATATAAACAATAGGGAACAATTCTGAGCCATTTGGAATAGGGGTGCACCAATAGAGAATTTTTGGGCTGATACTAATGGCTGATTTTTTAATGAGTCATATCAGCCGATACTGATCTGATTCTGATATGCAGCCAGGCAGTGTGGAGAGTGGCATCTGGCTAGTAAGTCTGTTGTGGGGTAAGGGGTGTGGGGGGGGGAAGATCGAGGTTCCCGCAGTGAGGGATGGAGTGGGGTAGGGACAGGTGTTGCACACCCAGGATGGAACAGGGAATGGAGCCACAAGTGGCTAGTTGCAAAGGGGGGGTTGGGGGGAGAGGTGGGGAGAATGGGGGTGGCTCCCACTGCTGCGCACACCCTGGGACAGCATGGGGGCATGTGCACATGGGGCAAGGGCGGGCTGCTTTTGTGGGCTGGGCCTGGGATGGCACTCTGTTCATCCCAATGGGGGGCGGGGCTACGCTACACTCATGGCAGGGGGCAGCAGCGCTGAGAGGGGGACTATGGGGGGGGATGTAGCCACCCCAAAATTTTCTGTAGACCCCCAACCACCTCTCTGAGTGCTGCTGGCACCCACCCTGAGTGCAACCCTGCCCCAACCCCTCTGCCAGGAAGAGCCTGGTGCCACCCTGGCCCCAGCTTATAGCAGCAGCCCATCTTCACTATGCTTGCAGATCCGGGGGCATACACCCCCATGCCCTCACAAAGCGCATGCAGCAGTGGGAGCCACCCCCCTCCTCAGGCCACCTGGATGAGTCGCTCACAACAACATCCCCTGCTCCACCCCAGCTGTGTAGCACCTGTCCCTGCCCCAGCCCCACTCCCTACCTCACTGTGGGGGCTTCGATCTGCTGTCCCGTGCCCCTTCCCTCACAACAGACTTACCAGCTGGACCCAGCTGCTCTCCACACT